TTGAGAAATGTGGGGAGGAGGAGAGGGATCATGAAAGAGGGAAATGGTAGGTTCAGGAAGTGGAAAAAGGATATCAGAATCGGGGTTGGTATTTGGTTGAGAATTAGAAGAATGGAATGGAAAATGGGATTCATAAAAAATGACATCCCTTGAGACAAAGACATCATGAGAGTCAAGATCATAAATCTTGTAGCCCTTTATACCAGGTTTGTAACCCAAAAACACACCCTTTCTAGCTCTTTGTTGGAATTTGGTTCTGTGATTAGCTAAAGTGGAAGCATAACATAAACAACCAAAAACCTTTAAATCAGTGAGATCAGGGGAAATGTTGTGAAGCTTTTCATAGGGAGTTTTGTTGTTAAGAATAGAAGAAGGAACTCGGTTGATGAGAAATACTGCATGTTTGATGCAGTCACTCCAGAAACCAGGTGGCAGGTCAGCCTGGAATTTGAGGGCTCTTGCCACAGCAAGAATATGCCTCTCCACTCTACTGTTTTGTTGAGGAGTCTCAACACAGGACATTTCATGAATAATGCCATGTGAATCATAGTACTCAGACATCTCAAATTCTTTCCCTTGTTCACTGCAAATTCTTTAAATTGTAGTTTGGAATTGTCTCTGCATTTGGTTGCAAAAGGCAATCAACTTAGGTCTAGCTTCTGATTTAAGTTGAAGTAGAATGACTCAAGTCATCCTTGAAAAATCATCAACAATTGTGAGAAAGTACTTGTAGGAATCATAGGAAGGGACTGGATTAGGCCCCCATATATCAACATGTAAGAGTTCAAAAGGATGTTGGGTTACATTCGGACTCAATGGAAAAGGAAGTCTCCTTTGCTTTGCAAAGTGACAAACATCACAAGGTAAGCCCTTTTGAGTTTCAATAGAGCTACAAAATTGATTGAGATAAGGAACTTTAGAATGAGACAGGTGTCCTAATCTGAAATGCCATAAATAAAAAAATGTTTGATCTTGCAACTGAGATGATCTTAGGATTACTAGGGGCTTCTAGGTAGTAAAGGCCATTGGTCAATCTAGCAGAACCAGTCACTCTCTTCTGCATCAGGTCCTGTATGACACAAAGGTTGGAGTGAAATGTCAAACTTAGTGAATTCTGATCAGTGAGTTTGCTGACTGAGACTAAATTGAAACTGAAACCAGGAACAAAGAGAGCATCCTGAAGAGTTAACTCAGGAGTGCAATGGACTGTGCCTTTGTAAGTAACATGTATTTGTTGACCAGTAGGCAAGAAACAATATGATCAGAAGCACCAGTGTCTAGAATCCATGTGAAACTGTGGTTGGGATTGATGTGGTTTGGTGCTGATAAGAAATATGTACCTGAAGGAGTGGTAGTAGTGGTGAAAGCAGCAGCAGTGTGAGTAGAGTGCTGCCTAGAGTTCCCAACAAGAGCCATCAGCTTGTCATAATCTGCCTTTGGAAGTTTAACAGAATCATCAGGAGTGGTGACTGCAGAATGAGCATATCCTCTGCCTCTACCATTGGAGGAAGTAGTAGTCCTGGGAACATAGTTTGCAGGGAAACCATGTTTCTTAAAACATTTGTCCTCAAAGTGTCCATGTTTACCACAGAATGTGCATTCAATCACATTGGCTTATGTATTCAAAGGAGAGGGTCGAGTGGACATTCCTGGTGGATAGCCATGTTTGACAAAACAAACATCCTCTGTATGACCTTCTCTTTTGCAGTAAACACAATAAGGCCTTTTTGAAGTTGAATTAGGTCTTCTGTTTACACCTTGAATGGCTAAAGCAGAGGTATCAGTGGTGAGAGAAGCAATGAGCTTGCCTCTTTGAGTACCATATAACTGCCTCTCATGCTGGAGCATACGTTGAAAAACTCTATTAATGTTGGGTAACTCATCCCCAAACAGAACTTGGGATCGAACAGCAGAAAAGTTCTCATTCAAACCTCTTAAAAACATAATGACATAGCTGGTTTCTTGATATTCATTAACCAGCTTCATAGCTTGACATGTGTTGTGACTTGTGGTGGTACAAGCACAAGGAATCAAAGGCTGATAATTGTCTAGCTCATCACGAAGAGTAATAACCTTGCCATAGTATTCAGTAATGGTCTGTGTACCTTGCTTTAAACTACAGAGTTCTTCTTCAATCTCAGCAACTCTAACAATGTCACCAGAACCATACCGTGTTTGCAAACTCTTCCAAGCCTCAGCTGCTGATTTGCTTGAGAGAATGGTCTTGCGTATTTCAGATTTGACAGCTTGTTGGATCTAGCTCAGGATCATGATGTTGTTTCTGACCCAGGCATTTCTCTTCGGATCTGTTTCTGCAGGCAGGAATGGCGCCATTGAGGAAACCCAGCTTGTTCTTGACAGCAAGGGCGTTGAACATGGCGCGACTCCAGTCATTATAATTTGTTGGTGTGAGCTTCTCACTGACCAAGAGGGAACCAGGTTGCTCAGAACCGTGAAGGAAGTATGGATCTTCCATAGGGTAAGGTGTTTTTAAGGCTTCACCAGATGCAGAAGCATCAAGGTGGGTTTCGTTTGTAGCCATGGCGGCGCCTAGGCTCTGATACCATGAAAACAAATTTATGATGTGGGTAAAACCCTAAAGCTTGAGAGTTCTCATTCACTTGTTCAACCTCTTTATAGGCGATCAGATTACAGAAAAAGACAGCTAAGCTAGTATAGTTTGTCCATTAGCTTGGTGAGGAAACAAAGATAAACTTGAAACAAAAGAAACACAGAGGAACAAGCTAAGCAAAACGCCGTAGTTTTGGTCTCCAGCATTAGCCACCTAAAACGTTGTCGGATTGAATTGTGTCTTCAACCTTGCAACCCATTTGACCGTTGCCATTGATTTTTAGGGATTCATTTCCTGTTAATCTATTGTGAAAATGTTTAATATGCACAACAACAAAGGACTCAAATTATGGCTTTTTTGCTTAAGAGCCGTCCATTTTACTAGGGGTGTTCAAACGGATTGGTTACCGTGGTAACCATATTAACCGGTAGCATTCGGTTAATTTGGTTTGGTTAATTTGGATAATTGGTTTGGTTAAACAATTTAGCTTATTTGGTTTAGGTGGTTTGGTGTGGTCTCAACATATCTAACCAATAAAACCAATTAACCAACTAACGATACACCTAATATACAAAATTATTTATACTGTTATGCAACCAACCAAACCAAACATTCGTGATTCTCTATTTTATTTCCATGTGCACAACAAACCAAAGCATTATGGGTCAAAAACTAAATGAGCCTGCCTATTTACTAAACCAAAACATTTTGGATAGCTACTAGACTTTAGGATTACGTACAATACCATGACAGCCACCTCAAACTATGTATAGTTAAGTGTTTTGTAGGAGAGTTTTAACATTTTGATGAGTGATATTGAATTGTATTTAATATTTATGTTAAGGGTTTGTTGTAAGCTAACTATATTAGGTGCAAAGATGATTAATGATGTTTAACTCGAATGATGATGATAATCATGAATGGTTAGTCGTATTATTATTGCTTATATATAATGATAGTTTATGATAGTAATAATATATGGTTATGTTTTATTTAAGAACAGGATAATTGTTTTCATGTAATGTTATGTTATTTGGCAGGTTAATCCGATTATCCGATTCACCAAACCAATTAAACTTTGGTTTGGTTAATTTGGTTTTCATGTTAATTTGGACGGTTTGGTTAAGACATTTTATTCCATAGTTAATGAAATTTAGGGTTAATTGGTTTGGTTATTACCACGATAACCATTTTAACACCCCCTACATTTTACCACCAGATTGAGGTTTAGGCTTGCCGTCTCTTTTTGCGTAGACCCAGATCTGTCGAAAGCAACTTTCAACACTTAAAGAACAAATACCAGCTTTGAACAACATATCGTCAATAAGAGAAAACTGCAATACTCTTTTTCACGCCACCGTGTGCTTCAACAGTTTGCTGCCCGACACCTTGGTGCTTCTTCAATCATACCTTTTCCTCCACCATCAAATATTTTTATGGGATAGTCTTCCTATCTTTTTTGCTGGGGTTAAAATGAGTTGCGATCCAGACTCCTACGACGAGCAGTTCTAGCAGGCGGTTGTAAGACTATTGAGCGGCGATTTCAATTTTCTTGTAGTTGCATCTCCACGATTCCATTCGTGGTTAGGCACGTTTTTCACTTCCCAACTATTTCTTACTTATTTACTTATTATTTTATTTTAATTTTAACCACTTTTTTTTTTTTTACAATAATTAGTCACTAGGATTGGTACTACAAATATTATTTTGTTGCTTCCGACTTAGCTTCATTTTTCTGTTTCTTTGTATATTTATGTTATTTTCCATTCTTGTGCATTGGTTCTAATTCAATTCTTTCTTTAGCTAGGGTCTCTGATGAATCGTATTGCCAGGAGAGCAAGTGGAAATAAGGTAAAATGGTTATTGTGGTTTTGTTGAGTTATGTAGTGGTTATGTTTTATGAATTTTTCAACTGGTGAATTGTTGTGCTATGGTGGGCGAGATGGCCATACTCTAGATAGTGTTTCTGTTCGCTGATGGAGGCAGTGTAACATTAGATTTGTGGGTTATGCATGTGACTCGTCTTTGGTTTACGTCTATGTGGTAATTCGTCGAGCATTGGAGAATGATGTGCATCATAACCCATATGGAGGAGCGGCTCTTGAAGTAGTTCGGTTATTAGATTTTCACTTTGTTTATGCTTCTCGTTTTACTAAAATGGTTGTCCATTTTATGGTATAAGCAACCCCTGTATTGATAGATCGACACTTGGTTGACTAAGTTATTTACTTGTGAACAAAAATAGATCCAGCAGAACCCAACTAATAGCCGCAAAAAGCCATAACACTAAAAAGATGCAGGTCGTTTATTTAAGTTGTTCTAGAAAGAAAAAAAAAATGCAGAGAGGAGATGAAGTGCAGGTTGTTTATTTAAAAAACTAATAAATAATAAACAGAAGAAGCAGGGCAACAGAAACAGGACATGAGTCATGAGGTGTGCTGATTGCAAAGAAGAAGATGGGGAGCTGGGGGACCCATCATACAAATGAAATGAGCAGGAGAAGAAGACACTGCAGGCGGCCAATTAATCCCTAAACACCAAACCATCACACGAAGACTCAAAACAATAACATTTTCGCTTCAATCAGGAGGAGGGAGCAATTTACAATTCAAGCGTCAGTCGAGCCAGTAGCGTTTGGCTGATTATGCCCCGCTCGAATCTAAACCCTAAAAACACCACCTGGAAAACGATGGCTTCCTTCTCGTTTAATCTGAACCCCCCTCAGCCTCATATATCGCCCTCCGCATCTTCGTCGCTCTCCTGCTACAGCTCGCCTCCCCGCTTTCTCAATTCGACAAAATTCCAGCCGGGTTTTGCCTTAATTCTCCTGTGGATTGCTGGGTCTCAATTGGTTGAATGTAAGTCTGCTGTTCACTGCGGTCTTTCTCATTTCATTTCTCCCTTCTTTTTCCCTTTTCGAGTGGGGGGCTAATTTTCTGATTGGTTGCTTGGCTGTAGTCCTAGTCGGGAAAAAGAACGTTCCAAAATAGTTAAATGATGAAGAGGTACAGGAATGGAGAAATCTGGGACTTCGAGCTCGAAAATCGGTTCGCCAGTAACCCTCCGGTGATCTTAGGATTGGATGGCGGCACTACTTCCACCGTCTGTGTCTGCATCCCCATTCTGCCATTCTCCGCCCCGCTACCGGACCCTCTTCCCTTTCTCGCCCGCGCCGTCGCCGGCTGCTCCAACCACAATAGTGTTGGCGGTCAGTCTCATCTCTGTCTTGCACTTTGTCTCCCTCACTTCCCTCATGGGCAGCTTGCTCTGTTCGCCAGCTTCTTACAATAATAGTATGTGGAATGGAAGGGAAGTGAAGTAAAATAGCTCGAGTTTCTGAAGATCATTAGAAGAATCCCATGAGTCGTTTCTTTTATTATTATTTTCCATTGACTGCTTATCAAATGAGGGTTTCATAATGCTCTTGCCCATTTTGAGACAGTTGTTGGCACAGAAGGCCAAATGCAGAAAGTTATGTGGCTTAGAATGCAAAAGAAAAGTGAATTTGCATTTATATAGAAATAGGAAAAATCAAATATATTTTCTATCTTTCTATAGTTGATGTCCTCCTCTTTTGCTTGACATTTTGGATCCTACAGAACTTGCTGCTAGAGAGACCTTGGAGCAGGTTATGGCAGACGCACTCTTGAAGTCCGGTTCCACTAGATCTGCAGTTCGAGCAGTTTGTCTAGCTGTTTCAGGTGTTAACCATCAAACGGATGAGCGAAGAATTTTGAAGTGGCTTAGGTTGGTTTTCGAATGATTGCGAATCGCTGACAAATTTGTACACACGCAAATGTGTGCTGATTTTAACTGATGGCAGTCAGATGATGCCCCTGCATTCTACTTTTTTTTTTTTTTTCAAAAATGTTTCTGAAATCTGTTTCACGGTCTTCATTCGTATATACAGGGACATCTTCCCTCGTCGTGTTGAGCTATTTGTTCAGAATGATGCTGTGGCAGCATTAGCTAGTGGAACAATGGGAAAGCTTCATGGTTGTGTATTAATTGCCGGTACAGGGACGATAGCATATGGGTTCACAGAAGATGGAAGAGAAGCTCGGGCTGCAGGAGCTGGTCCTGTCTTGGGCGATTGGGGAAGGTATGTCCTTGTGTAAGTTTTCATTTGATTATCGTTGCTTACGAAGTTTGTATCAGTGGTAATGGTTTCCTTACCTTCATGGTATTCACTTTTGATCGCATTAATGGCGAAGCCTACTGCTCAAAAGTTGTAAGACTTGTTTTTGTCTATCTATGCGTAAATGATTTACTTGACAGATTGTGTGCTACTTGCAGTGGATACGGAATAGCTGCACAGGCATTAACAGCAGTAATAAGGGCCTATGACGGTCGGGGTGGTCAAACAATCCTCACATCAAGTATATTGCAGTTTCTAGGGCTTTCTTCTCCAGATGAACTTATTGGGTAGGTACTTAAAACAATCATTGTTACCACTACTCTTGGTTTCTTTGTGTTAATTACTAGAGTTTGTTTCTGGAATTTGTAGGTGGACATATTCAGATTCATCTTGGGCTCGCATTGCAAATCTTGTCCCAGTGGTCGTGTCTTGTGCAGAGTCAGGTGATGAAGTTGCAAATCAAATACTGCAAGATTCAGTTGAAGAATTAGCTTTAAGTGTGAAAGCTGTTGTCCATAAACTTGGGTTGTGTGGCGAAGGTATGATTCCTGTTTGTGTTTGATTTTTTCATAGCTTGTCAATACTGTCATATGATATAGTTTCACTGGTTTTGTGACTTCATTGCTTGTCAATACTGTCATATGATTCCTGTATGTGCGTTGTACTATATTATCAATGCTCAGTTGCTGCAGTAAGAGAAGAAATTTGCAGATTTTCCAATTTAGGTTATACCATAAAATGGCTGCAGTCTTTAGAGCTTGAGGCCTGCTGTTAATGATTCAGTGGTAATCTAAACTTTGAGTAATCCATCACTATGCTTATATTTATACTGCTTATAAATTAATGCTGCTGCAGATGGAAATGCTCCTTTTCCCCTTGTCATGGTCGGTGGTGTTCTCGAAGCAAACAAGAGTTGGGATATAGGGAAAGAGGTTGTGAACTGCATCTCTCGAGACTACCCGGGGGCTCTTCCAATTGTACCGAAGGTACTACTTAACTTTTGAACAACAAGTGCTAGTATTACTAAGGGACAGCTAGATCTCAGATGCTAGACAGAAATGCCTACTCTATGCATTACTGGAAGTAGCGAAAAGCAGGTTCTGGTTACAGGCAGAGGATAGGGTTTCTTTCTATCTTGAGTTATTAGAATGATACATGAACTATTGAGGATGATACCAAAAAAAAGTGCACGGTATTGATAGACTCTGATAAGCAATGGACATTGGACCCATATGGCAAAATAGTAAGCTAAGACAGTTCCAACTTCAGCAGCTGATTAATATTTGCTAGAGAAAAGTTGGGTAACATGAAAGCGCAATGTAGCATGCCGCCTAACATGTAGTGCTTGTTCATCGTTCCATCTAATGCTTTTTTATATATCTCCACGATGATCCTTTAATATCTTATCACCAACTTGGGTTTGAAAAACCGTTTGTCTTGTTGCTGCTGTCTGAAGGTAATAGAGAACATATATAATAATAATAATGTTGCGTTTTGGTGCTTTGTTTTGTTTGGTTATGGAAATACCAGGTAGAGCCGGCCGTGGGTGCAGCACTATTAGCTTGGAATTTCTTGATGAAAGAGTCGCAATGAAATGGTGGCAACAAATCCGCCATTGCCATAATAGTGACCATCGGTGCGAAGCTTATATAAAATAATGGCCTGCCTGTTGTATATTTGGGAGAAGAAAAGTGTATGTGAAGTGAATGGGGAAGAGTCTGATTCTGTATTGGGGGTGGGGGGGTAATCGAGTTGTGTTGTTGAGCTCAGAAAATTTGCAGCGAATTTTTTACTGGTACTTTTGGTATTGGTTGCCAAGTGGAACTGTCTATGATTAGGATGTGACAACAAAAAAAAAAAAAAAAAAAAAATTGGCATTACCATTTATTGTCGTCCTCTTTGTCGTATTTTGTTTTGCTTTCTGGTTGTCCTCTTTCTTTTTCCTTTTTAGAAATGTATCTTGTTTTTCCTTTTAAAAAAGTTCTATATATGTATCTTATTACCAGCCATGTGTATGGGACTTGAGCGATTAGAAACAAAAACGAAAAAGGCCAATTCGGATTGGACAAGAGTTCATGTTTGTTCCATGCCACGAATAAGGGTGTGCAACTGCGACGAAGAATCAAATTTATCCATACTATTGGTATAGTTTGTAAGACCACGATTGATCTCCATAGGAATTAATGGAAAAAGATCTTTTAGATCTCTTTCCTTTTTTCGATAAATTTTTTTTTTTGTTTCTAAAAAAAAAAAATTGTATCACAAGAAATACATCATTTGATTGAAGAAAAACACAAACCTATCAAAAAAAGATTTATCAAAGCCCGCTCGACTATGAGTTCCAACGTAAAAGGAACGAAATCACTAGACGAACCAGACCAAACTTATGAGAATGGGGGCCTATTAGTAAAAGACATTTTAGAACTAATGACTCGACCATCTTTGCATCCGATCCATTTGGTCCAAGTTGGTCCGATCCAAATGTTAGTTGGGGAAGTTTGTTACAGGTTTATGTTTGTTGTGCCCGGGTGGTGTGGAATGTAAAGCTCACCTGCTGATGCATTGTTCATATACAGGTTGTGTGTTGCAGAAGTGTTTGAAGATTAATGCTCCTCCTTATTTTCATACTTGGGAGGTGACTCACCACGGATACATGACTCACTCCGAATATCACAATTAATTTCCGCCTAAGGTCCAAGTATAAACTTTAGTCGGGTGCAATACAGGGCAAGTATGTTTAAATATCGACTCGGGTCGGTCCGTGTACCCCTACTTCAGTCATTTGAATCATTATCTAACGAATCAGTTTGGTTGGAAAGTTTGGTAATTAAAGTAAAGCAAGACAAAAGCAAATGGTTTTGAAAGCTCTTTGTGAGAAGGATCACTCGGGTGTCGCTTCCCCCTAATTACTATCATGGTATGTGAATCGAAGTGATTGCTATGGGCAAGGTGACCGCGAACCGCTAGGGGACGCAAATATGGTCGTAGACCACACTCTCGATTGCCAAACCGAGGGATACAATATAGGCTATTCAAGTGGCCCTCTCGGTTAAGGCAATCGATGGTTGACTTACTCCCTCTCTCAACCCAAGAGTTGGTCGGCTGAATCGCGCTTAACCAAATTGCTTAATTCAACATAGAGGTTTGCCCTACACTAACCTAGATAGGTGGCTTAAGAAGCTCTAGGATTCCCAACTCAATCGAGCCTTCCTTGAAAGGGGGGTTTCCCCTCTAATCTAGGTTAGAATGGCCAATTAGATTTCTAAGCACAAAAATGCACAATCAACATGAAAATACCTCAATCATTGAATTAAACAACACCCATAAATAATAATTCAATTCACATAACAACTACATGACAAATAGTTAGGGTTTCACAACACCCAAGTGAAAAATGAAACTACTCCATGCTAGAAAGGGAAGAAATACAAGTGGAAGAGGTAGAAACCATCATGGTGAGGCTTCCAATATCCTTTAAGCTTGTGCTGAACTTCTCTCGGGGAGAATCTTCCCAATTCACCACTAGGAGCAAATCCTAGCCTTCCTTCTTCTTTGGTTCGTTCTTTTTCTAAAATCTGAAGAAGAAGACACTTTCTCACTCTTGGGCTCTCCTTTTCTCTCCCTTTCAGCTCTCCTTTTAAACAGGGATCAGGTTCAGTTCACGGCCGGGAACTCTTGAACGCGTCCGTGAACTCAAGGTTGGCATCGAAACGCACCGCTTTGCTTGCACAGGTTCACGGGCAACAACGCTAGTTCACGGTCTTAGTGACCGTGAACTCGCATAGCGTCAGTAACTTAAGATTTGGCCCTGGACGCCTCGATGTTCACGGGAAACAGCTCCTCTTCATGGTCTTAGCGGACCGTGAACTTGCAAGAGGAAATGTGAACTGCCGGTTTTTCACCTCTTCTCCCGGTTTTCGCTCCTTTTCGTCCAACTTTCGACTCCGGGGCTGGTCTCACCTGTTAAATCCTGAAACATGCTAAAACACAAGAAACCTCACGTAAAACCACCCTTTTAGGAGCACAATTTCCACAAACGCCTAAGGAAAACGGGGGTAAAAATATGTACAATTAGGCCTGAATCACTCCCCCACACTTAGACGTTTGCTTGTCCCTAAGCAAACCATTTCCCTAAGCAAACCTACACAAATACTTTGGGGAGAACTCAAAGGTCACAAAGTGGGAATTCTCAATGGCTATTGGCAATTAATACATGGACCGTTGCAAGCAATACCGACATCCACCACAAATGACATTCGAGGCCACCAGAAGTGGGCAAACGAAAAGTTCTCACCTTGTTCATGGATCAATGCAAGTCGCAACAAGACCACTTATCGACCACAACTAACCATGCATAGAATTCAAGTCCGAGGAACAAATGGAAAGGCAACAAAGGTCCTCACCGGGGTATGATATGGCATGCAAAGCAAGAATGAATCACTCACTCTCAAGACCAGTGGGGTCGGGACCTTTTTGGTGCAAAAGATGTGCACAATCATCAACACTCGGCCTTATCGTCTCAATGCCACGGTGGTAACCTCTAAATGCTAGATTTCACAGGATGGTTGTCACCACTAGCTGGTCCGGAGGTCTAAGACATGGGTTGAAATGACTGGCAATTGTCTTGGACATGGAGAAAAGGCTATTTGGGTGGTGGCAAACACGACATGAGGTTCTACATCTTCAACCTAAACCCAAAGGTTCTATGGTTTCGATTAAGACCCTTCTCTTCAACCAAAGGCCACTAGCATCGGACAAAAACCTTATTTCTTCCTTCCAAACTATCACCCATCGTGAACTACATTAAAGCACTCTTCCTCGGTCTTATCTTGTTATCACATTTCGATTTGGTAGTGAAGGAGTTCTAAAACAATGTGGGGGGGGGGGGGTTCAATGGCTTGAGTTCCAAGAAACCCCTCATAGAGCATACACTTTGGTTTTTCGTGGCACTCTCTACTTTATTTACCCCGTTTTATTACCTCTTTTTCGTTTCTCTTTTCTTTTCTTTTCTTTTTGCCGGGGGGGGGGGGGGGGGGGGTAATAGATAGTAAAACCTTTGCCACCTATACATTTAACGACCAATGCTCTCTTTTCAAGAACTCACTCCAACACTACACTTCATTTTTCATTCCTAGCAAGAACCGCACACAATCCTCCTATGTAGAACCTCTATGGAAACTCAACAGTGAGAGCTCCGAGACACAAGGACGACTCATGTTTTGACACAAAGAAAGGATTGGGGGTCGTTCTATCAACACCATTAAGCTCACAAGCACGAAGCTCCTAACTTTAGAACGACCCTCGAAGCACAAGGCTCAAAGGCGTTGACTAGGGGATAACACATTTCGGGACAATCAACATTTGGGCGTGGACTAAACCTATGCCTCCATCATACTCACTAGTGACAAATGTGATGTTACTCGCCATGGTAAGAGGGATCTAAGCACACAAGAAGAAAACGATCGACCCAAAGCTCACATGGCTACCTAGTCACCCAACCATCTATTCCAACTCACAAAACACAATGCATGGCAAATTGTAGTCAACAAGTAATCGAGTCAAGACATCCATTCATTTATGCACACACGAGAACTAAACTTTTGCACTATCCTAATGGACCTCTCAGTCATTATCATAGGATATACTTGACCACATGCAACAAATCAAGATCAATGCCAATAAACACGAGATTTTCCCACACATCGGCCACTTTGATCATGCAAACATTGCTTGGAGCCCTCAAATTTTTCAAATTTGGGCATACATCAAGGCTCCAAGCATGAATCAGGCTCACACAAGCATAATAGTAAACTACCCCCCCCCCCACCCACACTTAAGCTCGACATTGCCCTCAATGGAGTGAGATAGGGGTAGAATGATGTTACCGCTTGGGCTTGGTGAGTGAAAGTTGGAATCAATTCTGGGTTAGGATATTTGAAGCTTCAAGGAGAGACAAAAAACACACACAAACACAATACGACTCGCTCGAGGCGAGGTTATTACAAACACAACACGATAGTAGTAGTAGCAGGACAAACTTGCTAACCTCCGTTGGGTTGCTTCCCAACAAGCGCTTCTTTATCGTCTTAAGCTAGACGGAGACTCTGGGTCATGCATCTTGAAGGAACACCACCTCCTTGTGTGGCATTACCTCTCCTCCAAGGTAACGTTTCAGGAGGTGTCCATTCATTTGAAAGTTCCTTCCTCCGGGTGGGAGATCTCAACAACCCCGTATGTGAACACTTGCGTTACCACATACGGGCCCGACCATTTCGACCTTAGCTTTCCTGGGAATAATTTCAACCGAGAGTTGTACAAGAGAACTTGGTATCCCGGTTGGAAATCCTTCCCTCCTTTGAGACGAGCATCGTGTAAGCGCTTTGTCTTTTCCTTGCAAATCTTAGTGTTCTCATAGGCTTGGAGACGCCATTCCTCGAGTTCAAGCACCTGCAACTTTTGTTCATTGCCACACAAACTAGGGTCCATATTCAAAAGCTTTATGGCCCAGAAATCCTTATGCTCTAACTCTACGGGCAAGTGGCACGCTTTGCCATACACCAGATGGTAAGGCGAGAAACCTATTGGGGTTTTGTAGGCCGCGCGGTACGCCCATAGAGCATCATCGAGCTTTGCGAACCAATCCTTGCAGGATTGATCCATGATCTTTTCTAATATATGTTTCAGCTCCCTATTTGATAACTCAACTTGTCCACTAGTTTGGGGATGATAGGCCATGGACACCCGGTGGGTGACGCCGTAGCGATCGAGGATCTTTTCGAATTTCCCTTGAAAATGGGTTCCTCGGTCGCTAACGATGGTCCTCGGGGTCCCAAACCGTGAAAACAACTTTTTTCAGGAATCCACAGACTCGTCTTGCATCATTGGTGGGGAGAGTCTGAGTCTTAACCCACCTCGAGACGTAGTCTACGACCACGAGGATGTATTTGTTACCAAAAGACAAGGGGAAAGGACCCATAAATCGATGCCCCAAACATCAAAGATCTCACAAGTGATAGAAATTTTTTTGGGCATCTC